AATACTCACTGCAGGAATATGTGTAATCACACATATTCCTGCACAATTCCATATTCCTATGGAATTGTGCAAGTCAGTTTTTTTGTTTTTTGTTTTTGCATTTCTGCAAATATTTCACAATAAACGTTTTGTTAGGAAATGAAATGCTAGAAGATGTTTAATTTAAAACATACAGAAAGTTTTCAGTTTGTATTAACGGTGCTGTGTTTGGAAAGGTGGTGAATACCTGACTAGTGACTTACACATTCACCTCCAGTGGTTGCATATCTTTCCCACATAATGCTGTAATAAAACTTTACCAGGAACTACATCAGGAACTACTGAGAGCCTACAGAATCAGGCCAGACATTATAAAACTCTACAGGAGATGTACAAGACCAAGGCCAGGCCCAACAAGAAGGATGTTTCCCAGCTCATGGACCTTGAATTCCAAGCAAGACGGGCCTTCATTGACTCTGATGCCATTAAGGAGCAGGACCGGCCTTCCAAGATACTTCAAGCTTATCCCTGCTTCAGAGAACTAGATCATGTAAGAAAAGGTATTGATTTTAAGTAGGCCTATGGCTAGTTAGTACCCGATTGAATATCAAATGGGATATGGTGTGGGAATATGGAATCAGATGGGTCCCAGTATTAATGATTGACTATCCAAAATGTTGTTTTTTTTTGCATAAAATATTTATTGTTGTATGTCAGTATAAAAATCCAACGATTATTCGAAAAAATGATCGTTAGATTATTCGACAGAAAAATAATCGTTAGCAACAGCCCTAATTGTTATATTTACTGTATATACAGACCATTGAACTTACATTTAAAAACTGCTTGTCATTTGTGAACTGTAGATATCCTTTTGTAAAAATGCATTTTTGAATTAAACCTTGGAAAAACATCTACACACAAATTCAGTGAAGCTCACACAGGAAATTCACAAAATTTATAAATACAAAAATATTTCCTTCTGTACACATTCCTTAATTTTGAGACTCATCTGATACCAAATGTGTGTTAGAAGCCATAGCAGGAACAAACAAACTGTTGTGGACAAATCTGTAAAACTCATTTTCATTTCAGTTTCAATTCAGTCTCATATTAACCAGGCTAATGCTTCCTAGGCCTCCAGCTAGGTTGTGTAAGATTTACAGTGTTTAACAAACTCCATGATTGATTGATCATGATCGATTGTTTCAGATCATGGATGAACTGCGTCGGATTCTCGATCTGCATCGGATTCTCGACTCTCACTTACCTGACCTGATGACCCGCTGGGGGACCTTTTATGAGAAGGCACAGTTTTATGGAGTGTTCAAAAAGGTCATGAAAGCCCCACAGCAGGACAAAGGTAATTACTGGCTGTGTTGACGATGGAGAATCCCATGAGAAACATATTAATGTTTGTTTATCTAACTCACTGCAGTAAGTCAAATGACATTAATTTTGTTTTTAACAGTGAAGCACTCACTTGCCATGATAAAGGCGTTACCTGGCATGTTCCCATCACCTGTGGCTCCACCCAAGAAGTTAGGACATGCAAGTGAAGCTATGTTTCATGTTCTTGAGGTAAAAGCAGTTGAGCATGAATGAGAAATTTCATATTACTTACTTTACCATGAGATTCAACTAGTGTGAATTGTCTTTGTGATAATGTTTTTCTCTGTGTTTGTATCAGTCTAAAGAAGATCCGAACACCTTTCTTCAGACGAGACCACTCTTCAGTCCTGTCGTGATTGTCTGTGAAACCAATTGCTTACTGGCCATTGGAACCATGCCTGTGGTGACCTTCCCAAAAGAGGACATCTATACTAGCGTGATGTATCTCATGGCATGTTATTATGCCTTTCACCTCACATATCCGAAGTGTATTGCCACACTGCTCTCTGTGCTCCAGACAGAAGTCCTCTTGGATGCCATCCATGACAAGGACATGACTTCTTCATATAAAAAGGCTATGGTTGAGTGGAAAAAGTTCATTACTGAATAGGGCTGCACGGCACTATTTTTTCATTTCTGGTTGCCATAACAGAACTTTGTATTGGCCAATTTG